CAGCTTCAAAGGGGCTGTCGGTTTACCCCAAATTGTTTCATTGGCATTGGAGGCGACCGGTGGTGTCCACGTCGATGCAGGAGTCCCAGATGCCTCAACATCCGGCACTATGCTTGATGATTCCGAGTAAATCGACGGCACAGGAAGGGAGCTTGCAAGCATGAGGATGAGGGAATGGAGGTTGCAGGCGTTGTTTCCGGTAAAGGTCAGCTTGAACCCCCACAGATGATTGAACAGGTGGGTATATTGAAGGCGTTGAAACCAAAGGGATAGGAAGGGGGTTCGCTAACGCTGGTGGGGTATCGTCGTCCTCCTGGATTGGCAGCTTAGGCTTTGGGTATAGAGGGTATCTTCCAGGGATGCGTTGAGAGGGTGAATCCAAGTCATCGTCTTCGGTAAACCTGCGGGAGGGCATACCGAAGTAGCCGGGGGGTATTCTGAGATTGGGCAGACGGGAAGCGAGGCGGGGCCACCGGCATGGCAATCTGCGAGACCTTCTGAGGCTCTGGCATCGATGAAGATGGCTCGGGGAATCCAGGTTTCGAAACCGGTGCGCCGATGGGCGCAAACGGTGTTGCATGGCCGGTATTAATGGGTGTCTCTGAGACCGTCTGCCATTCCTCCCATGGTGAGTCAACCTCTGCTGCCGGAAAATCCAGCTTCAGAGGATCCTTTCCTGTCACAGGTTGTGGCATGGGCACAGGGGCATCCGTGGATTTCTCCTTCAGCTGCCCTTCAATGATCTGTCGCAAGTCCTCGTCCTGCTCCCAGAAATCATCTGTGCTGTTACTGGACTCTGTGTCTTCCTCAACAGGTGGGCGGATGTCTTCCGGGAGTGCCATGGGGTTCGCAGGCATATTGCTGTAAGGGCTGTTCAGCACGACCCGCCGTGGAGTTGGTATTGGACGAGTCTGTGGTTTAGCGCTCCCAGAATTAGGGCCACCGTTGGACTGGGCGTCGAGCCCTAGAGGTATCTTGCCAGCCAGAAGGGGACGAGGACGAGGACGCCATCGTGTATGAGCCGACTGGGATATGGTTTGCGTTCAAGAGTTCAGGGCATGCTTCAACTTTGGCAGGTGAACTGCATCAATCGGAAGCAATGGGCACTCGTGGGAGGCACTGTTGATAAAGCGGCGATTGAAACAAGCGCCCAGAAGTCAGGTGTGTCCGGAGGAAACCGGTGCCAGTGAGAGAGCAAAGATAAGGCAGTAGCCGTGTATTATAGGGCCAAGATACGAAAGTTTCTTATGAGTGTTGCATTGTCCCATGACCTAGGCTGATTCGAACAGGTTAAGCGAATGAGTGGCTGAGGTAGAACCCACAAGATGAATAGAAGGATATTAATGATTGATTGAAACCTACGATACTTGAAAACCTGAACGCCCTGATAATTTACATGATGTCTATTGATATGCCGGGATACGAAGATGAAAAAATAGGAGAGGGGAGAGCGAATACGAACCGTATGACAGGAAGAGCACTAGAGCTTGAAGCCCCAGTAAGGCTGACGAGGTTTTCGGGGTCGACCCTGCTCCTGACCTCCTGTAGCCATGGCATATTGGGACCATAGATCATGCTTGAAGGAGTGATGCCCATCGAGTAGTTCGGGAGGGTAGTATACCTCTGGCTCACCCTGTCGCTTCGACACACCAAGCGAGACGGCCTTCTCGTGATCTTGTTGTGGTACTCTTCAGTGAGAGCGCGTGCAATCTCGTCGTCGGCAGGGTCACTCCACATGAAGAGACCGTTGAAGGTGTTGTAGGGTGCTGAGGGGTCATGAGGCCAGGCAGAACCACGGTTGAAACGCGTAAGCTTGTTGACCGAATGTTCGATGTTACCTGTGACAAGCTTGATGCTCTTGCTTTGCTGAGGCAGCCTTGATCGAGTACTCTGCAGCAGTCTCGCCGATGAACTCGACGATCTCTCGTGTCCATGACAGGACAGGCGCACTGTACCAGGTAGCACTAAAGGGACGTTATAAGGAGGGATTGAGGAAAACAACGTTGTCGCATACCGGTTGTTAGAGTCACCGTCGACCTCACCGGCTGCAACGAAGAAAGGAAAGTGTCGTGCGTCTTGGCCTCACCACTGACACCTGGAACATTGATGAAGGAATCGAACAGACCAGCGGGCGGGTTTTCGCCGTTATAGAACATGACTATGGCAATGATTAGAAACGGGGTTTGGACTGGTGGGAGAAAGCCACTTACTCGCGGCACCTGTCGTGGAACCGTTGGTGGCAAAGAACTGAGTCGCAAGCGTAGCTTTAGGGTTGGAGGGCTTGGCAGAGTACTCGACAGTCGCGTCGATCATCGCTTCGAGCTGATCAGCGGCATAAAGAATAGTGCCTCCCCAGACTTTACCGACTGGGAAGGTTCGGAGCGTGAAGCTGGTAACGATACCGAAGTTATTAGTACCTCCCTGCAAGGCGTAGAAGATTTCTGGATCCTGAGTCTCAGAGACAGTGGTGAAGGTGCCGTTAGGTAGGACGATATCTAAAGTTGGGAGATCAATCTAGGTGCAGACGATACCGATACAAATATGGCGACCGACCAGCTGAGAGAATGTTGTCAATGGCAAAGCCATACTCATTGGTGATCCACGCATAGCCGCTGCTGAGCAGTAGACCAGCAACACCTAAGAGCGTGAGGGTGAGCACTATTATTGGAACCACAAGGGGGTCAGACTCACCGACACTAGGAGATCGACCCCCAACAACCACAAGGCCATGAGGCTCCAAGGCGCCGTACACCTGCCCCCAATCTAAACCTGTTCCTATCTTCACAGACTTCTTGTCAGCAGACAGCTCGATTTGGCTGAACTCGGACATCGCAATTTGGAGTCCGTTCGTCGAGCTCATATTGTTGTTGTTGCAGTGACCTTTGCCCTTCACTGCCCATGGTGTACGTGTCGTCTTGACGATTTCGAGCTGAACACCACGTTAGCCTTCGTGTATCCCTCTTCGTTTGTGACAAGCTTACCAATCGTTGGATATCTTGAGGGCTGTCCGGTTGGACAGAGCACATCGAAGGCAAGCTGCTAGCGTTAGACCAATGTGACATATCGTTATCGTACTGAAGTGTTCCTGGAAGCAACATGTCAGCAATCCAAATCAACTAATGACGCAGTAGCACTTACCAGCAAATGCAAGGCTCAGGTCGGGGCTGTCTCGAACCATGTCACAAGCAGCCACCGCGGCAGCATGAGACTCCAGGTCCAATGCAGGAGCAGGAGCAGCGTTCGCCAGCCGTGTTGCAGCGGCAACGAGAAGAACGAGTTTACGAGTTGAGAACATCACAAAGGAGGAGTGTAGAATGGGCCTGTGACTAAGAGGAGGAGAACTACCAGCGGAGGATGATGCTCTCTAGTCGAAAGTTGGGCAGCCTTTATACGCGTCCAACTCTCCGAGTCGCCTTGCAATTTGGATGCGTATCATAGCCAACCACCGAGACGGGGACCAGAAGTGACGTAGTAGCGCTTCCTACACGGAGTTCAGGTAAAGTGAGCAAAGCAGTATCCATTCCCTATTCGAACAGAAACCTAGATGGAGGTTCGGGAGCAAGTTCCAGCATCCGTGGTCGGAGCATTGGCATGATCTCGTTCTTGATCGCATCACTATCCTCCTGAACGGGCGCCTAATCTCTGAGACAAGCCAGGAAAATGCCTAAAGAATTGTCCCAACTCAGCTCCATCGTAATCGAAGTTTGCTTGGAAGTATCAATTGCCGTGATGAAGCTACCTTTTACTTTCAATTCAAATTCGTCCTGGTCGTCTCCTGCCATCCAAGCCATTGATTACGCGAACAGCGGGCGGCGAACTGCCCGCCTCTGTTAGAAACGAGACCTCTCCCACGCTCTTATTGTAAACTTTATGACAAGGAGCTGTTGTTTGCGATCTCGCATTGATGTTAAAGAAAAGCCAATCCACAACAGCGTGTGGGAGAGAGGTCTGCTCTGCGGTACATAGGCCTTAGATTCGTACTGCCCTTCAGGGCACCGATTTCTGGCAGAAATGGGTAAGAGTTCCAAGCTTCTGGAAGGGCTTTTGTCTCTTTCCTAAACAGCCAAACAGCTTTCTTTAGACACACCACCACCGTTACTTCACACTTAGCATTGTAATCAATTTGTCGGCTCCGAGAACCATGTGCGCTCCTCCGAGGTACAGATTTCGGACACTATAGTGTACATGCCATAATCTATAAAGGCACTTGGACACAAATGTCTCTAGCTCATTTAGGAACGCCAACAGTCTCGGGACCGGTTCTCGCAACGGTCTCTAAACGAATGCTCCGTTGCAAAAGGACCTCAACATCTAGTCAACGGGACATGCGGGCCCCGCTGTCGGAACCTCCACAAAACTAGCACCATGTCGCCTGGTGTATTCTTGTATCTATGCTAGATTACAATCAATTCATAAAAGCAGAGAGATCGGTTGGGAAATCAACTTGGGGAGTTAACTTCACTGTGAGCATTGGAATATTGGAAGGTCGCCAGAGGAGCCGGTGAGGCAATAGAGTCAATACGCAGATGGGCCGGGCAATGCTGCAGCCAGCGATCGGTTGAGAGATGCGACCAGCGCTGGTGACGCCATGCGTGTATTTGACAGTTCAGCTTCTGTTTATGGCCTTGTATAGAGCGATCCGCGAGAAGCGAACCGGAAGGAGGTGGGCGTTGAGAACGTGGTGGTGACTATCGCAACACGCTTGGCGATGAGCGTGACCGTAAGCCCCTATTTGCTGTAGGCGTCGGACGCCCGTCAACTTGCACATAGCAAAAGTATAATTCCATACAGTGAGCAAAATTAGGGACAATGAGAAGACACATGTGAAATGATTTATACTCGCATTCATGGATGAATCCGTCGGTGCCTATGAATAAATGCCCACAGAGCGGTCAAAATGAATCCACCTGTGCGATGGCGGCATAGGGGATGTCTTCAGAGAGGATAAAGCCAAAGTTTTGTCGCGCTACCCTATATAAGAACCGGTACACAGTCCTTATCGACACTAGCAGGATTCGAACCTGCGCCCTCCAACGAGGAACAGATGAACGTAAATATCGCACACGATCGATTGGGCTATTCTAATCTGTCGCCGTAACCATTTGGCTATAGTGTCCTTACGGTATAGTATTGTCGTCTAGAGAGAGAGTGAGAGAGAGTGAGGCTAGCGCCCGTGGTGGCTTCGTCTTTACTGGGAGAGTTTTGATCGCTCACCCTTTCCCTTGTGTGAATTCAGGACGGTTGTGAAGTTAACTCCCTAAGTTGGCTTCCCAACCGATCTCTCTGCTTTTATGAATTGATTGAAAGTCAGACGAGACTTTCTACCCACAAACTACAGACCTCAAGCTCCTCAGTTGCAAAGACAATCATCAGCATGCTATATTTATTACAATTGTTCCGCCCTATCCAGAAGGCTGGGATGTAGCCACCATGACCTACGTCAATCAATTTACACCAGAATAACTGAACTTGATTCTTAAGGTATACGACTAATCATTCGCAGCCCAGAATGCCTTCACAAGGTCAGCAGCTCTCTCTGCAATCGCATACACAGGCCCAACGGTATGGGCAGCGGGCAGGTGAGGCTAAAAGGCATGATCCATCAGCCACCGTCTCTTGCTTTGCGGGATCGAAACGCACCATGATTGAAGCATCCACGATACGAAGACCAGAAACCTTCTTGACCCTCAGATCTGGATTGACAACACCAAACGGGGCATCCTCTGGCGTCATCATGGCCGTACCCATAGCATGATACCCATTTCCAGCAAGATTCCTAATGGCATTGTCAATTTCTTCATCAGTCGTTGCTTCTGCAAGAGGCCCAGTGGGTATGAGACCCCAGTCTGCCCAAGGTGAGGCGGCGTAGAGATCTTTAAATCCTTGACACACCGTGGCGCATCACACGAATGTCAAACTCTGTAGAGAGCATGCCAATGTCAATGACGGGCGCGCCAAGGGGGTCAGTCACATTGAGGGTCATGCACCCGCCTGCATGTCGTCGTAAGCGATAGCGACATGTCAGAGTCAAACAGGAAATACTTACGAGACGTAGGGGTCAGGAGGATGAAGGCAACCGCTTACGGCTGGGCCTGATAGAGGATAAGCCCCATTGGCGCTATATGGAATGAACTCAAGGTGAGGTGAGCTGCTCCCGGCCGAAGGATCGTCGTGCTCTGCCCAAACGGCCATGACTCTGGCAGGCGCTCCCAACCGTACAGACTGATAAATAGTTGGATAGCGGTCCAGTCCTGTCGAGCTGCCATTGAGCCAGAGCTTCTTGGTAGTATGTCTCATTATTTGCGCTGAAAAGAGTGAGTTTCGGGTCAAAGGAACGGAAGGGTGGGCCTTACGGGGCTCCTTGATCCCGAACCACCATGTGGGAAAATAACTCCCACGGTCGGATTGGTCAAGGACGGGGCACACAAGAGGGAGGGAAATCGAGGACTCCTCGAATCCCGACTCCTCTGCCCCTAGGCAAAAACCAGCTGCCCCCAAGCCTCGTAATAAACTATGCCCCTACAGGCGGAGTCCAAGCGACGTAAAAGCCGAAACAATGAGATAACCCAGGGTAACAGCCCCAGCCCACGAGGGAAATGTAAGACCGACCCAAATCCACGGGCAAGCACAAGGAGCGAACAAGCAGCAGCGAGAACAATCCCAGAACAGTAGCACGATCCTCAGACAGCCGGAAGAGACCATACAACCAAAGCCCAACACATATCCATCTGCAGGGCACACAAACCGCCCCCAACTAAATAGAGGATAGAAGACACCGACATCCACACCCAAGAGAGCAGGGTGGCGGAATTAGGGACCTAAGCCACCTACGACACGCGAGACGAACCAAAACTCGCAGGAAAGGAGACCCTGAGACGCTCGAAATAGACCCCCCGAGCAGGCAAAAGTTACAACCGCACACCATGACATACAACCCAAAGCCTGGAGCGAATAGGGGGAACAAACGAAAGAAGTGAGCGACCAAAATAAACGGCTAAGGAACAGAAGGAGACCCAGCCTGCACAACTCAAACGAGAAGAAGTCCATCTCAATACACCCGATAGAATGCAAACTGAGCATCCAGAAACGTAGCACTAGACGGCAGACAACACGTCTACCAGGTGAAAGAGGAACCCCCTGTCCCAAGCGTGACACAAGATTACGTCCAAGAGACCCTGAAACCATAGGAAAAGATGTTAGAATACAATGCTCATGTCATGGTTTCTTCCTTACATCTCATCGTAGTTACAGAGATTCATTAGTTTAAGATCGGACGATTAACATCTATCGTTTCATCTACATCGTATCTATCTTCTTCATCTTCTATCATTCTATCATTTCTATTCGATGACTACGATCTCTTCTATTTATCTTCATCATACATATCTTTGTTGTACAACTACCATCGATGCTGTTCATCGATGGGTACTGTGTTATGATCTCTACTTTGCATAGCCTCCATAGGTATTTAAGTAGCTACTGCAAGTGAGGAGTTCCCTATCGAACTATTCCCCACTTGCAGGTATGTGTAACAGTATCATCCTACAGTACTCAATCTAATCATCGAACTATTCCCCACTTGCAGTGTGTGTATCGTTGAGGTTTTAACAGGTTATGAGCCCCGGTGCACAGTGCTAAAGACAAGTCGTCAACGCACAACGCTACCACTCAACCTCCCTCACGTTCGGTCAAGTCTACCACTGGTAGCATCGCCTTCTAGGCTCTTCCCTTGTCTATCGACTAGGAGCACCCGTCTGTCCCCAGTTGCACTTGTGACTGGACGATTAGACTTTCTAAATCTTCATCTCTTCGAACGGACGACTTCGTCCACGTTCTCGTTTATCTCACACGTCCTTCGAACGGCTACTGCCACATTGGGAGTACTCTCCCTTTAGAACAAAGAACGTATCCGGACTGGTCCCGATCCTTACTGGGAAAGGGTTACCGCGAGAGGTTGAGAACACTAGGTTCAAAAAACCACGTAGGAGATAGCAGACCACCAACAACATCGCAGCTCGAGCGAGAGAGTTGGAGAACGGTGCAACACCCGGGGTCTTATATATTTAGTCACTAAAAACTGCTACGTACTTCAAGTTCACTTGCCCAAGTGCCCATTGCTTTACCTTACAGTTTTATTTTTCAACCCCTTTTACATTATACGCTCCATCATGTCGACTTCCGTCGAGAACCCTCTCTCTGCTGCTACCATCAACAGATGGAAGAAGAATGTCATCAACCACGCGCTCACCATAAACGCGAGGGACATTCTCTTTGGCGAGGAGGATGAACCCGACAGAAACTCTTCAGATACAGAAGAGAGGAAGGCCTATAGGGACTACCGCAAGCGTCGCACCGCACTTGCAGGCTATATTCGAGGTACCCTCGATGATGCCCAACTTGACTCAGTCCTTCGCAATGTTGAGGACGACGACCCAGAGACCATGTACGACACTCTCCTTGATTTCTACCAGCCACAAACTGCCCAGTCCAGAGCAGCAGCTTTTCAAGAACTCCTTGCTCTACGCAAGACAGAGACTGATTCGTACAGCGATTTTGGTTCCAAACTCGTTGCCCTCGCCCAGCAAATCAAGGACCGAATCCCTGAAGCACCAAAGCTTATCCCAGAAGGAACTGTTGACGTATCAGTTACCCTTCCAGGTACAACAGCTGCTGCAACACATCAAGTCGTCGTTACCCCCAGCCACACTCTCAGAAGGCTACACTGCTATTGACGTTATCAACGACCTTATGATGGCCATTGCTATTATTGGTCTTCCCCATGACGAAAACTCTACCTTCCTCCGCAACACTCTCACCCACCTCGACTCTGTCAAAGGACCCAAGGAAGTCCTCGACCACCTTCGCATGGCCGACATTACGCAAAAGAACGATGAACTGGCTGAAGAGGCTGCACTTGCAGCGTCCAAGCCAAAGAAGAAGTCTTCGAACAAAAAGAAGACAACTTCCAAGGCTTCTACTTCTTCTACACCCAAGAAGCCTAAGTTCACATGCAAGGTCCATGGCGCCAACAACTCACATGGCGACGACAGATGCTACGATCAGCAGAAGTCGAAGAAGAAGGCAGATGCAAACGTTGCCCAGGAAGATTCCGATTCGGAGTTGGACCCTGAAGAGAAGGTTATGATGGCTGCCGTTGCTCACATCGCAAGTACCCCTCGTCGTCGAAAGTTTAAACAGACCGCTGACCATTCCTGGAATGCAGACTCCGGCGCTACCTCGCATATGACCCCCCACTTGAAGTGGATGCGCAATATGGTTGGTTGCAAGATACCCGTCAAACTAGCCAACAACCACATCGTCTATGCGCAAGGTCGAGGTGACGTCTTATTTAAGCCTGCTGGTAATCGCGAGTCTGTACTTTTCGAACGTGTACTATATGTCCCCCGTCTGCAAAATAATTTATTCTCTATACTCTCCATCGTTAAAAGAAGTAAAGCCAGAGTGGTCATTGAGAACGACACCCTTGAATTCTCTAAAGGTGGCAAAGACCTCTTCACTGCTACTATTCACGGCACTACTGGCATACTTGACGGTGTAACACTTGAGAAAGGAGAACAGGCCTATGTGGCCGCTGTAGACAAAGGACTCTGGCACGATCGACTTGGTCACATTGGGAAAGATCGACTGGATCGACTCATATCCCAAAATCTTGCTGACGGCATTGTAGTCAAAAAGGGAACAGATGTCAAGGAATTTTGTGAAGCATGCATTGCGGGGAAACAGCATCGCCTTCCATTCCCTAAAGTCTCCCAAAACCGCTCTCCAGAAGTACTTGGACGTGCTTTCAGTGACCTTCATGGTCCGCTACCTAGATCTCTTCGAGGGTATCGCTATTGGATTACCTTTACTGACGACTGCAGTCGCAAAGAAGGTGTCTATTGCCTGAAGAAGAAAAGCGAAGCATTTAGCGTCTTCAAGGAATGGGTTGCAAAAGTGGAGCTTGAAACAGGCCAGAAACTCAAAGAGTTCCAAGAGGACAAAGGGGGCGAGTACATCTCAAAAGAATGGGATGAATGGATGAAAGCTCGGGGAATTAAACGCCGACACACAGTGAAAGGCACCCCACAGCAAAATGGCGTGGCAGAGCGGATGAAC